ATTTAAAAAATGCTCCAGGTACCACTAACAGCCAGTCTCATACAACACTCCCCTCTGCAGCAGGGTTCAAAGGCTGACTCTCGGAATTAGTGAATATAGAATAGCAGCCTCAGTCTAATCTAAATAACTTTGGTGTAACTTTATAATAGCTTTTATAGTAATTATGTATAAGTACATAAACAGAATAGACACACTCTGTTTGAATCAGCCATTATAGTCTAACGGTCAAGGTGCTGGACTAGGACGAGGGAGATCTGAGTTATATCTACCTTTAACCATGGAAACTCATGGGATGCATTTGGATCAGTCATTCTCTTTCAGCCCAAGCTACTTCATAGGTTGCTGTGTGGGGACAAAATTAAGCTGCTTTGAGCTCTTGGAGAAAAGGTAGATTATACATCTATCAAATAGATAAAATGTCAGAACTGTATTGCAATTCTTTCAGTTTTCCCTCTTTGGAGATTGTAATTCTTTAATGAGGTTTGGCAGTTACCTTGTATTTTTGACATACAATTATTCTTTTGGATCTATTTTTTTTCTAAGACCTTATAAACAGTTGTCCAGATAAGGACAAATGTATATACAGATGAGGATGATATATATTGTATGTGCTTAGTTCTTGTACTGAGAGTAATTAATTAATCCTATGCAATTCTGTGAACACTTACCTGGAAGTATATTCCAGTGAACTTAGTAAAACTTATTTTAGAGTAGAGATGCATAGCATTTGATTGCAAAAGTGTTTAGCTTGGCCAAGAATGTTTTCTAAATAGTGTAGCAGTTGTCATCTTCTCTTGATTATGTCTGATACATCAATCCAGAAAAAATATCAAATGCATATTGAAGGATTTTTTAAATAGTAATTTTATTAAAAATTACAACAATACAAACTAATACAAACTAAGAAAATAAAGGAAAAAGAAAAAATATATAAAGAAATTATTTCCCCCTTCATCACAAGTATAAACAATTTTAGTAACTTATAATCTAACGCATAGTGAAGTTTGTAGAATTTTAGAGAGCAGAACGGTAAATAAATTGTACTAAATCTACATTTTGTTCTTTTCTGTACTAGACGACACAAAAAGAAAGAGCAGCTATGCTTCTAAAAATAATTATTGCCAAAGATAATGATGCATATATATCATTTTATAATGCTCTGCTTCACGAAGGATACAAAGATCTTGCTACTCTCCTTCAAGATGGCCTCCCTATTTCACCTTCAAATGGAAAACATTCTGAGGATGGTATAACCTCATATGGTTAGTAGTTATTTTTCTTATTTACTAGAGATTATATGCTGTTCCAGTCAGCAAAGACTCTGACCAGCTTTGTAAGACAAGTGGAGGTTTTTTGTGTAAATTTCTTTGTGTAAGAATGCCTACCCTTTTAACCTTCTGGAAG